ATACACGAGTTTCACAATTTGAGTTGAATTACTGAAATAAATTAACTTTTCCACGACATTCTAATTTATTGAGATGCACCTGTAAATGCCCTCATCTCCTTCTAATTCCAATGGGAGGGCTCATCTTCTGTGTCCTGTACGTGCTTTACGGTGCTATGTTACATCTACAACCTCTTTTAGACAGACAGATCAATTATTTGCCTGTTATGGTGAGGTACGTAAAGGCATGCCCTTGTCCAAACAGAGACTGTCACATTGGATAGTCAAGGTAATAAAAATGGCATAAGTATCAACGAACGACCCTTACCTGCAGGTGTTACCTGTCATTCTACTAGGGCTGTCTCTTCATCTTGGGACACTTTGCGGTGTGTCTCCTTGGCAGAGGTCTGCGCTGCTGCTGCTACCTGGTCTTCTCCACATACCTTTGCACGATTATGTAAGGTCAATGTGGCTGCTTCCCATGATGTGAGTTCTTCAGTCTTTCTGGAGCAACCTTGATGTTTCAGGTCGGTGACATTCCTCATGACTGTGTTGGTATGTGACATCCACTAATGCTTAGGAGGAATGAAACAGAATGCAAGTTACGTATGTAACTGTGGTTCTGTGAATTCTGGATGACCACCAGGGTTCTTTGTCACTCAGAATGCACGAGAAGCGTTCCAATGCTGGGCACCAAGCTACTGCGGTTTATATCCTTGTGGCTCGGTCTGTCACGACGTGACCTTGTTGACATATTTTCTCAACCTATCTAACTGACATTGTGATTATCCACTAGTGCTTTGCACCACCTCTTCCGGTCATCCGAAATTCACAGAACCACAGTTACATAAGTAACTAGCGTTACCATGGTACCAACAGTTGTGTGTGTGACGATAGTAGTATGATAGGCATGTATGATGTGCTGGACCAAAAAAAAATCCGATCCATGGAGGTCCCACCTCACAACTTTGAAGACTTATAGGACCTGCTGCTCATGTCTCTGTGCCAGATACCACAGGACATGTTCAGAGGTCTTGTGGAGTCCATGCCTCAATGCATCAGAGCTATTTTGGCAGCACACAAAGGACCTACACAATATTAGGCAGGTGGTTTTAATGTTGTGGCTGATCAGTCTATGTAGGCCTACAAGGATTTAAATGTGTATTTTTTGATAATGTAGATTGAAATTAAAATATGACATTAACTCTGCAAATTCCAAAGTTTCCAAACAGTGATGTTTAATTAACAAATTCTGACTTTTAATTAGTAACCAGGCACCTATTGTATCCGTTAGTTTTCTTAATATTCATAATTTGTTTTCATTATATAAGCCTTATTTGACCTGAAATATTTTGACTTGCATTATTGAAATAAAAATAATTTTTAATTTATGCATGAATTTACATGCATATATATATATATACAAGACTTCTTCATATACAGGAGCTCTTTGTATGGTTTGCCCCAGCCAAACTTGTTAATAGTATATGTGAATCTGCTGTATCAACAGATAAAATCTGAGGTTCAAATTAGTACAACATGGTTTCTTTATTTAATTAATAATTTGTAATTGTTTATATTTGATATGTTAAGTATTTAAAATCATGTTTCAGTTTCACTAAATCTGTGCACTTGTGCTTCACCAAAAAAATTTAGTTAAATAAATCAACAAACCTTAACCTACCAGTGTTTCCATTTAAAATGTCATCAAAATTGAGTCAAACCTTTATTTGAGGTTCAATAAAGATGTGTCCAATGTTATGTAAAAACATTGTGTAAATTTACTGGGATGTGAACATTTCATAATTGCAATATATAAATGACCAAATTTTATAGCTGGTGTTTTGGCCCAAAATGTTTGTCAAGGCATTGCATAAGAAATGGTTTCAGCAACAACTTCTGACTGAATACACATAAAACAATAACATTTTGCTTAAAGAACACGATGAAGGTCACCAAGCTGTAAACACATTTCAATTAAAAAATAAAAATAACATCTGAAACACCATCACAGTAGCCCTTAAAAGTATAATCATTCTTTAGACACAGATCTACAAATATACAGATCTGACAATTATACACAATTTCAGTGCAGTTAAAATACCAGATCTCTCTGGAAATAATCTGAAACAATCAAAGGCTGTGTGTGAAAGTGAACAGTGAAGGAGACAAAGAGAAAAGTGTGATTGTACACAGTAAGAATTACTTCTTACATGTCATTTTAAACCTGGATAAACAGAATCAATGACAAGACCACAGCTGGAGAAGCTTATAGTTGATCTGCAGTTCTTCACTTAGAGTCCATTGATGCTGCCACTATGCCGTGCTGTCTTAACTGGGCTCTGATCATCTGATTCTTTGATTTCCACTCTTCCATCTGTGTGTGTAGGTGGAGGAGAGACATAAGAGCGAGACAGACCAACTGTATGAGCAAATGAAACAGTGTTGTCCATTTTCTTTAAAACATTCACACAACATAAAAAAAGAGCAGAACTGATGGATGCATGACTTCAGAAGTACTATTAGCAGCAGCAGCAGCAGTTGTGGTTATAGTGGAAGCTGTGGTAGCCATCATGTACTGTTCATTAACAAAGTATTTGATTCTGAAAATATGCTTACAATGTAAGTTTTATCAAATGAATGAATAACTAAAATGTTCAGAACGCTCTTTCATTTAAAGTGTCTTCCTGTGGCAGCTGAAATACCTCTTGTTTGAGAAGCTGATTGTCCATCCTCAGTCTATCTACAGCATGTCGTTCCTCTTCCAGTCGTGCATTGCTCTGACGCAGCTCTTGAATATAATCACATGCTTTGGACAAGATCCAACCTTTACTCTGCACAGAAGAGCAGAAGACAATCTGAGGCAACATTTCTAATTTTCATTTAGTTTACCTAAACCTTTTTGAAAAACAAAAATAAAGTAAAACTGATAAAAAAAATATTAATCTAAACTATAAAGACATAAAAAATAAATAAATAAATAAAAGAAATAATTATAGTATCCCCGTTATACTACAAAAATACTGTACATTATACCTTTGAATAAAATGTTCAAACTGGACACTGCTGGTGGCTTGTGCTAACTAAGCTTACTTGACCATTCTTGGTTGCATCCACATTGCAGTCAGGGATTGTTTTGGAAAGCTGGACAATCCAGTTGTTGATCTTGTCCCTCCGTCTGCGTTCCACTGAGGGGAAAAAATGCTTACATTCAGACAGAACTCAACGACACATTTAAAGATCTTTTTCAGTCTAATTTGAAATAAAGCAGCAAGGATTGGATTAGGGGTGTAATGGTTCAAGTTTCTTATGGTTTGCGGTTTTGGGGTCACCATTTCGGTATGGTTTGGTATGGGGGGGTAAAGGGGAGTATTAGTGGTATTAGAAATTTCCTCAAGAATAATCTACTATTTGCGCACAAAAAATAAATAATTATAATAATTACTTAATTAGCCTTAAGTTTTTTAATTACTAAAAAAGATAATTATAGATAATAAATAGAAACTAAAGCACAAAATTATAATCGGATTACAATTAATGTTCTTAAAAGGAATAAAACTCAGGGTAAATTTGATGTCTGACAACAAATATAGTATATACTGAAATACATATTTCAGTTAACGTAA